TCCCTTACTGTATTTTAGGTCTGTTTATAGAAGAAACACAAATCTCCTGAAAGCCAGGGAGGTTTGTTGTCTAGAAGATAAAGAACAATAGTAGTAAGCAGATTTGAGGAGGAGACCCCAGTAGCATCCTACTGTGTGTGTGTACATACTTATTTATTTTATTTTTTTTGTTTTCTGATACAAGGTTTCTCTGTGTAACAGCCCTGGCTATCATGGAACTCTGCAGACCAGGACGGCCTGGAACTCAGAGATGCTCCTGCTTCTGTCTCCTGAGTGCTGGGATTAAATGCTTGTGCCACCACTGCCCAGCTTCATATTTATCAATTTTAATCCCAGAAAAATCATGTTTTTTTTTTTTAAGTGTATGTACTTACGTGTGTGTAGATAGTATGTGGGAAGGATAGGTGCTGAAGATCAAGCTCAATAACCATTATATTCTGTTTTGAACTTCAAGTATGTCTCCAAAGAATATGCAATTAGGCTTGAGTCCTCTGGCAATAACAGAAGTAACATATAACACACAGTTAAATTGTTGAGCCCAGGGCCAGTTACTTCTCACATGTTACATTTAATTCCATAGGGAAAGTACCAGTGTTTTAAAGGTGAGGAAATGTGAGCAACCTTTGCAAATCACACGGTAGGCAACTAGAGTGCCGAGATTGGAGCCAGTTCTCATTTTATGAAGATGCTTGTGTTCTCAAGCACTGAAAATATTGCTAGTTGTCCCCCATGAAGCATACTACTTTATATTAAAAAGAAGGCAGCTCTGTTTTGTTTCCAAGAATACTGACATTTTTCAGACCATGTCTGTGTAATGTTTTCTTCCATAACAACATTCATCCGTCAGCAAAGGGAAATCTGTCTCTATGAGATGGAAATAATCAGTTCAACTGCCCCCCCCCACCCTGTTATAAAAATCCCTGGGGACTAATTAAGTATGGCTTCACTTCCTCTCCTCTAGGGGTAACTGCCAAAGGGCCTGAGATTAGTATTGATTCTATTTTCCCAAGGTCAGACTTGACCATACAGTGGTGCTTTCTCTAGATACCATCCATTGTCACTTCTTGTGCAGCTACTTTTCCTTGCTCAAATAGCTGTGATTTAGATGGGCAGAGCAGGGTGGGCTGGGGCCCACCAGTTTTCCTGCTTTGGCCTTGGGCCAATAGGCTCAGGGCTCCTGCATCTCTGAGTAAAAGTGTCAACTTCTTTTACATGGATTTAGACTTTAGAGACAATTTTGGAAATGAGTCCATGCCCCTTTTTGAGTCTTGTTTTCTTTGTGATGCTAAGGATTGAATCCAGGCAATGGTGCATGCTACAAACATTCTTTACCACTGAGCTATATCTGCAGCCCATAGTTTTGCGGGGAGGGGCTCTTGTTGTTTAGGGCAGGCTGGCTTTGAACTCCCTATCCTCCTACCACAGCTTCCTGAATGACAGGATATCATGTGCCCCCCCCTCCACATACACACACTCGAAAACACACACATCTTTGGGACAGGGTCTCACTCTATTAGCTCTGACTGTCCTGGAACTCACTATATAGACAATACTGTCCTCTATATAACTCACATAGATTCCTGCCTTTGACTCCCAAGTACTGGGGATTAAAAGTGTGCACCACTATGCCCTGATCTAGCTAAATGTCTTAAGTTAGATTGCTGGGACTAGCTTTAAAAGCTGGCAAGCATATAAAGTGCACATCAGGCATCTATTCTATGTGTGCTTGATGCACAAGCTTTGAAAACAGCTAATAGAGTACTTGAAGACAAGGACCTAAGTGGTAGATTTTCTAAGCTGAAAGTAGTGGTGCACACCTTTAATCCCAGCACTCCAGAGTCAGGGGCAGGCAGATTTCTGAGTTCAAGGATAGCGAGAACTCCATGACAGAGTGAGACCATGTCTGGCAACTGGCAGCACAGGAAAACTCTACAGCCATTTATTCTCAATCCTGGATGGCCCTCTGCTTTTGCTTTGGCTTTGTTAGTTGTCAGATGAACTGAAAGCAGTGGACTTCTGGCAAAGCAGCAAGGCAGCCAACCAAAGATAGCCAGCACAGGTGGCCCTGTGACTCCTCCATGCTCTGAGAAACCAGGGAAAATTCATAGCCTAAAATTTCGGGGTGAAGTCCTTATCCCCCACCACACATGTATAGTATGGCTGAGCAGATGATGAGCTCCCCCCCACCCAGAAGCCCCTGATGCAGTGTTTATGTAAGCATCCTTCTAAGAAAGAATTCAGGAGTCTCTCCACCGAATCACTGCTCTCTAAAGAGCCTAGGCCATCGATCTGAACCAAAGCCACTGGTGTGAGTGTGGAGTTTAGCCCAGCTGTTGCACACAGCATTGTAAACAGCAGAAGGTTCCTGCACAGCTGCAGGCTGATGTCACCTTCTGGAGCCTGTCCTGCCCTTTGGTTGTTGGAAGTAACAGTAGTAAACTGTCCGCTCCTCCGTCTGATCTCCTCTCTCTTTCCGGTTCTCCAATCTGTTCCCTCTTCACTGGGCTTGCAGTAGCCAGCAAGGCTGCACACTGTTTAGGCTACTGGTTTTTGTGTGTTTAAACAGAGCAAGCAGCCCTATCCAGTGGTCAATGGGAGAGGATTTCTGTATATCCTATATGATTTTAAACACAGGCATACTACAATTACATATTCAAACTGACAGTAGTCTGATTATAAGCAGATATGTGAAACTCTAAAGCCCTGTGTACCCACAGTAGATGAAGGCTTCTTTAAAATGATGGGGTTCACCAAGATGCTTGTGTACTGTGTGTGCCCAGTCACTTATGTCTGATGTGTTTGGATGAACTTGGTCATATTTGCTTGCTTGTTATTGCTGATGTAAGACATTGTAAAATCAGGATTTCCCACACTAGAAGCTGATCTCTTCATCCACTGGCTACAAAGTACTTTTATAGACTTTTCCCATATAAAGGTCTAATTTGAGGTACACAAGGGGAACCTCATGGAAAGGGTTCCATTGTTCTCATTTTTTACATGTTGGAAATGTAAAAAAAAAAAAAAAGTCAGTTTGGCAGAAGCTACTATTATTGTTTGCTAGTTAGAGTAACATTAGACATCTTGAATCTTTATCTTCCTTGATAAAGACATTAATGAAAAAGATATGCAAGTGTAAAAAGGGTGTTTTTAGCAATTAAGAAAGCCATTCTTTACTATTTATTAAATCATTGTCTGTGACGGCCCCTGTCATCTGGTTTTCATGTGCCATTTTGGCTCTTTCCTCCAGTGCTTCTGCTTTGTGGACTGGTTTGATTGTGATTTTTCTGTCTGTGGTTTTGTTTAAGATAGTCTTGCTATGTAGCCCAGGCTGGCCTGAAACACAAAGATCCTGCTTCAGTCTCCTGGGTGCTGGGACTGCAGGCATGCAACACAGGCCACCACACTTGGCTCTGCTTTGTTTGTTAGTTCCCAAGGCATAGTATGTACTATTCAGATATAGATCAGGTGGGAGCAAAGTTTTCCGTCTTCATAGTAGAATTGTTTTTGTTTTGTTTTGTTTTGTTTTTTGAGACAGGGTTTCTCTGTAGACCAGGCTGGCCTGGAACTCGCAGAGATCTGCCCATCTCTGCCTCCCCAGAGCTGGGATTAAAGGCATGTGCTCCCCACCCTTCATAGTAGAATTTTATGAATGTATTTGTAAGTGACTCTACTTAAAAACCCATTGCAGGAATCAAAACCATAGTATGTCACCTCCCATGCCCACATGCATTAAGATGGACATTGTATATATTTTTCGGCGCACACCTTTAATTCCAGCACTCAGGAGGCAGAGGCAGGCGATCTCTGAGTTTGAGGCCAGCCTCGTCTCCAGAGCGAGTGCCAGGATAGGCTCCAAAAAGCTAACAGAGAAAACCCTGTCTCAAAAATAAAACAAAACAAAACAAAACAAAAAAAAACAAAACAAACAACAAAAAAATGAGGTTACTGTAACTGTATCATTTCCCTTCCCTTTCCTTGCTGCAGACCTTCCTATATATCCCCTTCCTTGCATTATATTTTTTTTTTATATGTTTTGGTGAGGATGTGGGGAAATGGAATCTTGCCCATTACATTGCAAAGCCACTTAATAAGTAAAAGTGGGATTGGCCACATGAAACAGCAATTCTTCATCCAAATGTAGACATAAGAAAAAATTCAAGCAGGAATCACGCAGCTATTGGTATGCCGGTGCTCATGGCAGCATTGCTCATTGTTCAGTATACGAAGGTGGTGGAAACAGCTTCAGTGCCGTCACTGGATCAGTGTGTGGCGTGTTCACACACTCTGGAGTCTTAGTCAACCTTAAAGGAAAGGCAGTCCTGGCACAAGCTACAGAGTGGATAAAACCTCCAGGGCATCATGCTAAGTGAAATAAGCCCAGTACAAAGACAGGCACTAAGCCGGGCAGTGGTGGCGCACGCCTTTAATCCCAGCACTCGGGAGGCAGAGGCAGGCGGAGTTCTGTGAATTCGAGGCCAGCCTGGTCTCCAGAGTGAGTGCCAGGACAGCCTCCAAAGCAATACAGAGAAACCCTGTCTCAAAAAAACAAAACAAACAAAAGGTAGACACTGTATGGAATAAGGGGGCTTACCAAGGTGGGAGAGAATGGCAGTCATAATAAATGCATTACGCGTGTGAAATTACAAAGGGGAAAGATTTATCTTGGTTCACAGTTTTGGAGGTCTTAGTCCAGGACCTGCCATCATGGCAGGGAGAGCACACAGTTGAAGAAACTGTTTGCTTCATGGCTGGGAAATTAAATAGAGGAAGGGTCAGCATCCTGATGTCCCTTGCAGGGGTTTACCCCAGGGACCTAAGGTCCACCACCCTGCAAAGGCACCATGGGTCTCTAGCACATGGCCTTTGGTGGACATTTCTTTTTAACTACAGTGTTGGTCACAGGATAAGTGAAATGGCCTTGTGTTTATGCAGTAGTGTGCAAATGTGTGTCTCAGACATTGAGCAAATTTAGAGGTTCTTTCCTTTTATGTCCTTTTCAGTCGATGCTTCAAGCACCTGTGAGAAGCTAGAAAAGGCTAGGAATGACTTACAAACAGCGTATGAAGGATTCATCCAGAAACTAAACCAGCAACACCAGACAGACCGGACTGAACTGGAGAACCAGCTGAAGGAATTCTACATGGTGGAGTATAAGAAGCTTCGAGACATCTACAGCGAGGAGGCAGAAAAGTATAAAACCCAACTGCAAGAGCAGGTCGGTGGCCCACTGGGCTCCTCTGGGCATGGCTGTCTGAGTCCTAGATGCTATCTACAGTCTCAATGAGTTATCCTTTGCCTTTTAATTTTATTGGGGAAAGCTTTTGGGATGCTTATGATGAAGCAATGTTGAGTTAAAGCTGGGAGAAGTAGCCGGGCACAGTAGTACATCCCTATAATCCCAAAACTTGGAAAGCCGAGGTAGAAGAATGAAGGCCTGTAGAATCCTTGCTGCAGAGAAAATTCAACCTGGGTAACTTAGTGAGTCCCTGGCTTGAAATAAAAACCGAAAACAGGGCCAAATATGGCCTCAGTGACACACAAGTGGTGAGTTCCTGGATTCAGCCCCCAGTGTGAAAAAAAAAAAAAAAATTCCAAACAAAAACCAACGAAGTCTGTAATCCTACCAGTTAGCTACTTTGGAGACGTTGAGGCATCTTAGTAAGACTATCTCAAGATAAAATTTAAATTGAGGGCCAGTGCTCAGAGATGCAGCAAGAACTTGCAAAGCATGTTCAAGTTCAAGGCTCTGGTCATTCCCTAGTAGGACCCAAAAAATTCTTTCTAAAAGAAGGGATAGAAATATCCTCAAAATCAATCCCCTTGGAAGCATCCTGGTGTTCCGCTACTAAACCACTTTTTAGTAACCCATTTTCCCCATTAGTATCATAAACTTTGAATTTTCCTGTTCCCTATTTGATTTTTTTATTTAGTTATATGCATAGTTCTACTATATGCCAAGCATGTGCTAGGAAGGGGCTGAGAGTAGAGCGGTCGGTGTGACAGATGTGGGGCTGAGGTGAACCTGTGAAGTACAGATCCACTCCTTGTGATGAACTCAGCCATTGCAGTCGGTGAAGCCCTGCAGAGCTTGGGCCATCTCCCTGGGGAGGCTGTAGTGGAGCTGGGGGAGGGAGGGCAGCACACAGTGGGTTGTTGTACGCATGTGTTAGACACCCATTGGATGGATGTAAGCATGTGAATGAAATCCCTAGTGTACACTCCTTGATTCTTCTTAGCAGCACTTCCGTTCTTGTTAGTAAATTACTGTTTGTTTGTTCCTTACAGCTTGACAACTTAAATGCTGCCCATGAAACCACTAAGCTGGAAATAGAAGCTAGCCACTCAGAGAAAGTAGAATTGCTGAAGAAAACCTACGAAACTTCCCTTTCAGGCAAGGGTGCCTTTTGCCACACTTCAGTAGAGATGTAATGGAAATGCATCGTGTTTACTAAAACGGAAATGCTTCATAACTCTGCCTCACACAGAACACCCCATGGCATTCGCTTGGCAGGCCTCTTGTTTTCTTTGTGCATTGTTCGGTGCTAGTAGATGCCCTTTTCCCTTAAGGATGCAAATAATGGTTACATGTACATGCCAGGCATTTAGGAAACAGGATGAACTTCCAAACACTCTAAAGGCCTTTTTGGTGCTGGTGGTCAGTAGTCGTTGCTTCTTTAGGTCCCAGAAAGATCAAGGTGTCAGTTGCTAGCATAGTGCTCAAAATAACCCATACTCGAGTACTCTTACACACCCTGGCTGTGGTACGGCACAGGTGGCATGTGATGGACCAAGGACAAGATATGCTGTTTTGACCTCACCATTGTTGGAAAGCTTGAAGTGAAAAGGAAGAAATGAGAAGGCTTTTTTTTTTTTTTTTTTTTTTACCAAGGTGGCTGTGCCTTGGGGTGTTCTTACACACCCTGGCTGTGGTACGGCACAGGTGGCATGTGATGGACCAAGGACAAGATATGCTGTTTTGACCTCACCATTGTTGGAAAGCTTGAAGTGAAAAGGAAGAAATGAGAAGGCTTTTTTTTTTTTTTTTTTTTTACAAAGTTGGCTGTGCCTTGGGGTGTCCACATGAACCAGCTGCAGCCCACAGAGTAGCGGGGGCAGGGGTGGGATGTATGGTTGAATTGGGTGTATGACCTTTAGGGAGGAGACTGTCTCATAAACTGAGTTGCTGCATGGAATCGGAGATGGTAGTAGACAAACGTAGCTGGCTCACATGTACATTTAGTGAATACTGTCTTTTTCCTGCTAGGAATGGGCTTAATTTTAGATTTCTGTTTTCTTCTGGAAGAGCAAATTGAAAGGAAGACAAGGGGCCCCCAGACCAGAAATCAAAAACCTGTCTTTTGAGACCCTACTCAAAATCTCATGCTGAGATTTTCTTGGCCTCTGATAGGCATCAGAGTTTCTGGTCTTTGAACCAGAAATCTCTGTCTTGCCTAGTAAAGCTGTTCTGAGAAGACATTTCTTAATTTATAACTCACATCTTAAAAAATTGAAAGGAACATAGTTTGTACTTCATCAGTTTCCACATGTGGATACATCAGGTTGTAGAGTTGTTATAACCTTAAACTCCTGGGGTGTTATAACCTTAAAAAAACAAAGCACAAAATCAAAGTTCCCTTCTTTCCAGAAATCAAGAAAAGCCATGAAAAGGAAAAGAAGTTGCTTGAGAATCTCCTTAATGAGAAGCAGGAATCACTAGAGGTGAGTGGCTCCCTCCAGGGGCCGTCAGATGGTGTGGACTATGCCTCTTCATACCTTTGATCCTTTTCTGGTATCTGGTGCTTCATGTGTTACTGTTTGTGTCTTAGAAACAAGTCAATAATCTGAAAAGTGAAAATGATGCTTTAAATGAAAAGCTGAAGTCAGAGGAACAAAAGCGAATATCAAGAGAGAAGGCTAATTCGGTAAGTTGATTATTCCTCTGTTACTACTTGGATTTATTTCTGCTAAGTTGCCATTTTGATTCAATTAATCCTTTAGCAGCTAGAGACATAATTGTGGTTTTAGATCTTCTTCATACTTGCCATGTTTTATTTTAATTGGACAAAACAATTTTGTTCACTGATTTTCTTTTACAATCACCCAAATAACACAGATTCAATGAGGTCTGAACAACTTACCAATGGGAAACTGAGCAAAATTCAAAACCAGAAATTCTCTGTATAATAAAAGAGAAACTGCCTTATACACAACCATAAACTTTAGTATTATAGTATATCTGTGACATTGCATGTTAGTCACTGGTAAAAAACATTCCAGAATGTGTTTATTTCCCCGAGAGAGAACCGAGCTCATCAAGTCACTCTCCGTTCCCCAGATGACTCCTGTCCTGAGTAAACCATCATTCTGTTCTTAATTTCCATGGTCTTGCTTGTTGTGAGCATTCCAAATAACCATGTGATACATGCCTTTCCTAATTATCTTCCCTTAGCCTGATGGTGTCAGTTCATCCCCATGGGAGCATATTGATACACAACCTTTCTTTTTATGGATGGGGAACATACATGCTTACATGTAGGCAAGCACTCATCCACATAAAGTAGTTTTTAGAAATTGACGGGATTATACTATTTGCCTCAAGTGAATATGAGATTTATCTAAGGTCTCCCACCAGCCCTATTGAAAAGAACCATGTGGAATTTTACTTTTGAATAACCTGGAATTGAAGATGGATGTTTGGTCTTTGGTTTGACCCTTCCGGGTCTGGGACCCCTCCCAGCCTTTACAAAGCAGGTCATTTGACCCACAGACACATTTCCTCCTCTTGTGAAGTAAAGACTGTAAGGAGTGGGGTCAAGTGGATGCAAGTCCCTGATTCTCCCCCAGGGCTCCTCCAGAATGGAGCTACTACCCCATGTAAACCCCTGAGTCTTGTCTGAGAAACTCTGATTTCACATCCGGCCAATAGGTCAGCTACAGCCAGTTTGTATCAAAATGTCAGATGTTGAGTTGAATTTCCATCATGAGGTATGCGGGTGCCCAGCACTGGTGGTATCACAAGTGTCAGTTTGGGAGACTGCATCTTCTGTGGTAGTGTTATGGCTGGCCTAGAGGTGTGACCAAGCAAAAGTAACCACAAGGAAAACCCAAGGTCTCAGGACACTATCTTTGTATGGTGTTTTCCAGAGCCCTGCATATGGTACTGTCTTTGCCTGTGTTTCTCCTTCAGAGACTGACTTTGCTTAGAGAAAACTACTGTAGCCTTTTCTCCCTTCAGAGAGCCTCAGGTTAGGACTGGAGGGAGCCCCATCTCTCTCCAGAGCTGTTTTTATGTTGTAAGCAATGCTTTTCTTGTTTCTAATAGATTTGTTGAACATAGTATCTTTTGCTATTAAATGACTAAGGAAAAAGTAAAATGTTGTCAATATTATGATCAAAGTCTTTGAGGTCAAAATGATCTTAACTCTTCTTTTTCATTCCTTTGAAACTGCTGTAAGAAGTGAAGCCAGGCGTGGTGGCGCATCCCTGTAATTCTGCCACTGGGGAGGTTAAGACAAGAGGAAGGCTACAAGTTAAAGGCCAGACTGGGCTACAGAATGAGACCTTGTCTCAAACAGACAATAAAAGGAAAGAAACATACATTAAACTGGCATGGGCGGTGTATGTTTGTAATCCCAGCAATGGGAAGCAGAGGCAGGAGGATTACTGAATAAATGCCAAGTCAATCTAGGTTTCATAGCATAACCTTGCCTGTGTCAACAGAAGGGGGGTGGGGGCAAAAGGAAGCCAGCACTTATTACTCTCAAGTCTAAGCAGGATTCAGTACATCAAGAGGTCAGATTGTGTACTATGAGAAATAAGTCAGAGCAATTATCTTTGTGTGTTTTCTCCAGAAAAATCCTCAGGTCATGTATCTGGAGCAAGAGCTAGAAAGTCTGAAAGCCGTGTTAGAGATCAAGAACGAGAAGCTGCATCAGCAGGACATGAAGCTGATGACGATGGAGAGGCTGGTATGTCTCCTCCAGGATGGTGGATTGAGTGCATCACCCCCAGTGTGTGTGTGGTGGTGGGGGTGCCTGGGAGCTAGGGACTCGGAGCTTATGGCTTTAGAGTTATGCACTATGCAGCCGAGCTAACCTGTACTTAACGATATGGGGAAAACACACAAAGGGTCAGAGTTGCATCTTCCTTTTGAGAGCTAATACAAGCTGATTCATTGCTGCCTCCTAGAACACTTATCACAAACAAATCAGCCTCACATTTCATAGTTTTTTGAATCTTCACTGACCTAATACAAAATTTTAGTTACTCTAAAACCAGTATATTAATGCACCCATCCACTCTGGACAGGAGGGATGTTGGCACAATATAATCTAGTAGAATTCCTTATCTTTTTAAGAATTAGAATATGATAAAAAAGAATTACGTGTTGATAGGATTAGCCCAACTGGAAAACAGCAAGCACTGTTGAAAACCATGATCGGAATTTGAACTTCTCAACTGTGTTTGAAGGGAGTGCCTTGTGTGTACTGTCCGCCTTGGGCCAGCCTTGAGACACAGGGTGTGTTAGCCAGGACACAACCGAGCTGGGAGAGTTTGTCAAAATAGCTTAAGTGACCCTGGATGACCCCCAAACTGCCTGTCAGCCACCTAGCCACCCACCCAGTGCTTCCTCTCCTCCTCCCAGCTGTGGGTAGCTCATCACTCCATGAAGAAATGTCTCTTTCAAACCTAGACCAGCATGGACAATTGGGAGCCTAGAGGTCACTCTTAACTGGCTTTTGTTTGGAGTTTGGGGATTTTGGCTTAGTTTGGGGTCTTATTTCCTAGAGATAATTAACGGCTTTTTCAAGGAAGCAATTCCTCCATGAGCTTATGGGCACTACCTCACCTTGTCAGGGAATGTGATAGGTAGTGTGGGGGAGGCTTTTTTTTTTTTCTTTTTAATCCACAATGGTGTTTTGATTGGCCATAATGAAGAATGAAATTATGTCATTTGCAGAAATAATTGATGGAACTGGAGATGATCACGTTGAGTGAAATAAGCCAGACCCCGACAGACAAAACACTCTATATTCTCTCATGTGGAGCCTAGATGAACCTAGGGGGCCATATTGAAAGAGAATGAGGACGAGCAAGGGGAGAAAGGAATAGAGTACTGGAGAGTAAATATGGTCAAAGTACATGAGTCACTTGAATAAAATGCTGTTACGAAGCTCATTCCTGTGTACAGTGACTATGCGCTAATAATTTCTAAGGGAAAAGACATATGTAGTGGCCAAAGGGCGGGGATGGGGGGTGGAACTATCCATTTTTAGCAGTCAGGCATGAGCGTTTTCATAGATTCCCTGCACTCACTGTGCAGCAGACTCCTAAAACCTAGTGTCATGGTCAGGTTGGTCATTGCTGTTTGGGACTGCTTGGCCCATTACTGTGGTCAGCTTGTGGCTCAGCTGGGACTGAAGGGTCACAAGGAGCTGACTCCCAGGCTGATGCTTGGCAGGTCAGTGGGTTCTGAGGTCCCTGGAATTAGGTGTCTTCACAGGGATGATTGAGGTGTTTTCTCTTTGTGGGCATTCACTCCCATGGAGGCATGTGAGGCAGCATGGGTAGCGAATCTGATACTAAAGTACTGTCAACGACCTTCCCGTCGGTAATGACCTGTCAACCCCAAAGCTCTGAGACAAAGGTGTGCAGGTGAGAGCTCACTATAGTTGATTGAGTGCAGTCACAGTAAAGCCCCTCCCCCTTCCCCCATGATTCAACTGCTTCAGTTGATGACAGCAACTGGAGTGTAGATCAGGCCTTTAACAACTTCGCCACTGTTCCCTGTGAATGGGACCTGAACTGCTCTCTGCAGTTCTGATATTCATGATTGTATATGTTTCACGATTGCTCTCTTGCCCACCTTTAAAGCATAACATCTCCCAAGCCACTAAGGAGTTCCCCGAACTGACACTTCATGTCCAGCCTAGTTGTAGTTTGTGAGTATACAGCCCATCTATCATGGAGGGGTCAGAATGGTAGCAGATGTGTACAGCTGGGACTTATCACTTCTGCCCATCTTGGAGGCACCAGAAGTACAGGAAGTGGCTTTTTCTTTTTCCTTTTCAAGGAATTCAGGAAACTCCTAGTTGTTGATGGGCCCAACCCAGTACACATATCACATGTTGGCAAAGGTCATCCTGTGGCACCTGCACAGCAGGCAGGCAGTGATGACTCAGGAGACGCTGTTAATAAGTTGTTGCTCCATCTTCCATTCATGCTTCTGAACTTATCAGATCTCAGGTGGTAAAAGTCTCTGCTATAAAAGTACACACGTATTTTAATTTCTATTGAGCCATGATATTTGTTTTATGCCCTGACCCAGAGACATTACAACAGAAGTCAGAGGCACACTGTTGTTTAGACAGGAGGATAGGTTGCTATGACAATGTGCACACTCAGTGCCACTTCCATGTCATGTACGTAGGAGTTCCGGGCCTTTAACGAGGTTAGAACACTTAATATCTTAGGGCCCTCCAAAGGAACAGAGTTGAGGCGATAAACATTAGAGGAGAATTTGCTAGATTGGCTTACATGATGAGCTCAGAGTAGTCCCGAATGGCTGCTGGGGAGCCTGAGAACCTGGTAATTGTTCAACCCACAAGGCCAGGTGCCTCTGCAATTCCAACCTGGTGCCAAAGGCCGATGAGATTCCTGGAGAGCCTTGGGTCATCAGTCCATGGTGGAAGCCTGAAGAAGCTGCCTCTAATATCAGAGACAGAATCAATGGCAGCAGCAAGGTAGATAAAACTCCCAGTGAGAATGAGGGCCAAACAAGTGCAAAACTGCTTCTCCTATGTCCTTCTGCTACCCACATTAGGCAATCAGGCCAATTCCCCAGAGGCATGCCCACAGGCCAGCCTGATTTAGACTGTCCTTCATCAAGGCTTTCTCCCAGATATTTCTAGTTGGCAAACTAGCCATCACACTTAGTATGAGGACAGACAATAGACATTGCTTAAGAAAGCTTTGCTTTGAGAGCTAGCTCTGCCAGTAATTAGCTGTGACATTGAAGGTCAAGTTTTTACTTGTATATAAAACAAAGCATTGGTAGAATATTGTCAGTCAGTGGCCGCTGTTTTTAATTCCAAGTCATCCCAGTTTGTGGTTTTATCTTGAATGCTTTATTCTAAACATTTCAAGATGTTTCTCCCGCCTCCCCCAGCCCTTTATTCTGTAGATGTTTTTCTAGTAAGTTATTTCACCTGACTGGCTTGTCACAAACATTTTCTGCACATGAGAATGTCTTAAAATCAAGACTTCACCTAGAAACTGTAACCCAAGCAGCTGAGCCACCGTAAGCTGCCATAGCAGGGATCTGGGGTTAATTCTGGCCCCAAGTTAACGTGGGAGGTGTGACGTCACCCCCTAAACAAGTAATAAACCATATCTTCGGACAGTGAGTTGGGATGGAATTAGCTCACCACCATGTTGTTCAGTGATTAAATGCCTTTGTGGGTCTTAAGCTTTAATCCCTCAACTGGATTTGTGAAAGTGAAGGCTGGGGAGACCTGCAGGACAAAAGTGCCCCTTGCCCTGTGCTGGGAGGTCTTCTGTCCTTATTTCCCCTGATGTGCTGCATCAGTTTGCCACTACGGTCCCCCTCACTCCATCTTGTGACAATATCCTGTATCAGGAGTATGCCTTAAGAGAATTTATTTGTTCATTTGTTTATGACTACAAACCTTGTTTACACCAAGGTGGACAAGAACACAGCGTTGGTTGACAAACTGAAGCGATTCCAGCAGGAAAACGAGGAATTAAAAGCTCGAATGGACAAACACATGACAATTTCAAGGTAAAACTACCAGAGTTTATTTTTCTGTCTCATCCTTGAACATTAGCTGTTCCTTTCTAGATATGTTCCACTGGCTACCCTTCCAGGCACTGAGAAAAGCAGACAGAGGCACGAATGTCCCTTTGAAAGTAGTTCATGCTTCTACCAAAGTGGCCAACCTGGAGCTCACTAACTGTAATGACACTGTCAGAAGAATCGATCACAGATGTGAACAGAAAACGAGCCAAAGCCTTGTGCAACTGCCCCACTGCCTTCTGGGAAATTGTTCAAAAACTAGAGCTGCCCATTATTGCTAATAGGATTATTTATTTGGGTCAGGCTTGATAACTGAGCCAAAGGCCTCACACATGTTAGGCGGGCCCTCTACAACCCAGCTATTTGCCTCCCTATAGTATTTGGGTCTGTTGGCTTTACAAATCTATGACCCCAGGAAAGATCCTGTTTTTTTCTCCCAGAGTACACTTCTTGTACCTTCATATTTAATCAGGAAGAGTAACTTTTTTGAGTTGGATTCCACATAGTCTTTGGGTTTTCTGTTCAAGGCAACTTTCCATAGAGCAGGCAGCACTGCAGGAGTCCCTGGAGAAGGAGTCCACGGTCAACAAGAGACTATCCATGGAGAACGAGGAGCTGCTGTGGAAGCTACACAATGGGGACCTCTGCAGCCTCACAAGATCCCCCACGTCCTCGGCCATTCCTTTCCAGTCCCCCAGGAATTCTGGTTCTTTCTCCAGCCCCAGCATCTCACCCAGATGACACTCCCGGAACGAGGGAGAGTCTCTGAAGGCACTGAGGTGTGGTTCTGCAGGACTGACCCTCTCGTGGGAACAAGAGCTGAATTAGCTTTCTGGAATTTCCACAGGATAACTGGAAAGCAGCCACCACCGTATCGGCTACTTACGAGTCAGGAGTTCCGGAGGAAGGCTTTTGACTTGGTCCAGAAGCCTCCTCCAAAAAATAGATTCTGGAATTGATGTGGACATAGTTGCACAGAGCACTTAAGGAATGAGGGAACCTTGTTCTTTTGCCTTCCTTCACCTAACCATAAGGGGAAACTCTCAGGGCCCTATTAAGATAAAGATTTATAACCTTTATAATATTCTTCACCAGAGACACCTTCTTGTGATTTTTTTTTTTTTATTTCAGTCTCACTATGGGCAGGGGTGTGTGTGTGTGAATAAAATGGGTGTACTAGTGTGTCATGTCATGTACTAGTGTGCCCTCTCTTCTGTGTATTAAGTCAACAGCTGAATGTAGCTGGTTCTGTATTAAGTTATAGTCAGTGTACATGTGTCAATAAAAGCCATAGAAGAGAAAGCAATAGTTGCTTGAATTATTACCAACTCCTCTGGGCACTGTGTGACATGGCAGGGCGAGGGTGTGACAGGAGAATCCTTTTGATTTGTTTTCTGTACATTTGTTATCTTTTCAGTGTTCAGTTTTCTCAGTTGATACATTTGACTTTTTCTTTTCCTGTAGACTTTTATGAGCCTAATAGTTGTACTCCGATCCATTTTCTCAGGCTGTGCGCTAATTTTTCTAAACACAAATCTGTATGAATAAGGAAGTAGTACCAGGGGTTGTTTCTGCTTCGTTTTCACCTTGAATCTGAGCTGTCTTCATAGAGGTCAACCTTCATCTTCTCTCCCCATTGTCTCCATCTGCCTCTCCTCCCTCCCTCTAGAGCAACAGCAGCAAACCTTCTACCTCTTTCCTCATAGAGTGCTGTTCCAGAGCCAGCTTGTCTTGGAGGTGCTGAACCAATAAGCTAACATCTGGATCTGGGAGAACAAATTTTGGAAACCCGTAGGGAAGTCAGGAAAGATGTCCTTCAGCATGTACTAGTGGCCAGCAGCACCCTGTTAGCCAACAGTTGGTGTTTAATAGGACAAGAGTCTGGGCAGTGATGCTGACTTTAGGGCCAGCATTCCTCCTGTCATTGAAATGTAACAGGGCAGCCAAAGAGTGAGAAATGTAGTTTAAGCAACTCCTTCACATCACATTTGAATTCCTTTCCAAAATTTCAGTTACCACCTTCCCCCCATTTGATTTCCTGCCCTCCTCCATACCATTTCGGTGTCTGGGAAGTCAGTCTTGCAGCAATTAAAATGCCTTCAGGGGCTAAAAGACAAGAGAGAAGATAGGAAACAAAATGGAGAGCTTTTAAGGTTTTTTTTAAAAAAACGTTCTCTGTATGATACAAAACTGTTGACACATCGTAAAATGTGGATGTGTGAACAAGTGTAGTTTATAGTGATGCAAAGTGTATTTTACTTTGATCAAATAAATAATGCTAAAATATTCAATAGAAGAACGGCAGCTTCTGACATACTTTACTCTTCAAAGCCCCAAGGTTGTGTTATATACCCCCTTCTCCACACTCATTAGTGAAGACTCGTCCCTACGCTATTGTACTGGATTCCCAACGGAACACCCATGTTCGTTGTGGGCTAAATTGGCTCAAAGAGCTTGAGTTTAAGGTTAAGCTTTTCAAAATTCAGGTCCTGAATTTTGGCTAGTTTAAACAATTTCAACTGTATGGCATAAGAAAACTGGAACAGCTGTGGTTGTAAGTTCTATTTGAGAACAGATCTAGCCAAAGTTGAACCTTAACCTGTTCATCTATGTTATGTTAAAGGAATTTAAAATTAGTACCTTCGGTGTGGCAATGTTATGTAAAAATGTGATTTTTGATACCTTTATAAATTAATGCACATTAGCTTTGATAAAGTGACATGTCTAAGCCTTTGAAATCTCGAGTTGTTACTTGTGAGTAAGCAGTTGAACATGAGGGAGTAACACAGATTGCTGTCATGTCCTTCTGGGTGCACACACTAAAGGAACAACAAACGGCCCCTTTTCTTTTTATAAAATCTTGCTCATTTAATAGAAATGGTTATACAAAGTTGACATGTTTTCTTGGTATAAAAATTAGAAACATGGCTGTAAGTAATCAAAATACACTTTCTGTTGATTTGGATGTTTGACCCACAGGCAGAGGTTGGTCCTTGGTATCTGCTTCCCACAAAGCACTTAAAAAAAAAAAAAAGTACCTTGATGGCTGCCCATCAGTTCACTGTCTTCATTTTGCAAGTCAGGAAAACTCAACAGTGGTAGCCACTGTAGTCTGTCCTCGGAGATTCTGAGCCGTGCATATATAATATCCTGCATCAATGGTCTCAAAGTCTTCAATGGTAATGACACTCTGGGAGATTCTTGTGGTGTGCCCCAGTCCTCTGTTGATCAGTCTCCAGGTGTCTTGAATGGCCACGGGCCTTTCGTCCTGTTTAAAGATGGCACACAGACTAAAGCCAGAGGGACAAGCTGCTTCTCTCAGCTCCCATCCATCCGGCCCGTTCTTGGATACAAAGTGCATGCTCACTGAAGACTAGTTTGCATGCTGAGCTTAAAGGCTCTTTTTTCCCTCTCTATAATCTTTCAAAGGCTGCATTTTTTTTTCCAAGTGGGAGACTTGAACTTCAGGATGCTGTTTTATGATTCGTTCTACTCTTTATACAAGTGAAATGGATTATCTTGGACCTCTAAGGGGAACTAGTCTTAAGCAGAATTTTTTCCATTGTACCATCCTCATGATGCCAACTTTCACTGTCAAGTGGTTCTTATTCGTGGAATTTAAGCTCCCTGTGGCTCTGATTTGGGAGAGGCAGGAATGTAACTAGGCTAATGTTCCTTGAGACTACAGAGGGAGGCAAACTGTACCAAGGAAGGGTAAGATAATGCCCGAGACAGTGTGAGTGCTTAGTCTAGAGGAGCATCACCTTTAAGGTCAGTTTCAGGCAGTTACAGTGAGAACAGTGTTTTCTAAATTCACTCAGTAGGTAATTATATTATTAATACTTTCTTCTCTTAAGAAAATAGCAGCAGCATAAAAGGTCATTCTATTGAAAAGCAAGAATGCTATGTGTAATAATGTAATTAAAACAACAACAAACCTAGCATCAGGATGCTGGGAAGTAATGCTCTCTGGGGATCATTTTTCACTGAGCACTGGCTGCCTAGTGTAGCTTGGGAAATGCCATCTCTGGCAACAAAGCTGGCAGAGGCTAAGGACACTGTACTTTCTTTTATAGAAGTCTATTTCTAAATGATGGTGGCCTCACCACACCTTGCGGACAGGGTCTGAGCTTATATGCCCACTTGGAGAATGTCTACTCAAAGCTTTTTCCAGGCCTTGTGTGAGGACACAGCCTTCTTTCGCCTCCCTTTCTCCCACCCACGACTTGGAAGCATTGTACATTATGAACCTAGAAGACGAGAGTGAAGACTGAAGTTCAGAAGTAGTCTGTCTCTTTCATGCCAAAATCAGATATAAAGGCATCTTGAGTAAATTACATCATAGAGCCATCTACTGCCCCCCCCCCCACTTTTCTGGAAAACAGTGTATTTTTGAAGTAGACTGAAACATCTTAGACAAGCATTCGCTGGCTCCCACATGGTCATAACCCTTGAACTTAAAACTAAAGGTGCTGGCGGAGGCTAGAGTGTGGCACTCACCTTCTGCCCAGGAAAGATCCACCTGAATTCTACCTCAACGTCAGGCTCCCCTAGGACAGTACAGAGCACACTGATGTCATCACCGCCATTCACTTTGTTGGAGGAGGCCAAGATGGTGGTTGACGGAGGGCCACTGGGAACTGGGGGCAAGTGTGAAGAATGATAAGATCCATAACTCTTGGTAAAGACATACATTCTTTGTCTTTATGGAGAGAGAAAACCAGTCTATTCTAGAGCTTCATGAGGTTAACACACATGCCCCTTAGATTGCTCTAGAAGCTGCCTCTAGGCCTCTCTATGTTGGTAGTCCAGAAGGGGATAGTCATCCTGAATCCAAACTCTCTACCCTCCATATTTGTGGACAGAGAAGGAGCTAACAAATTGACCAGGATCACATGAAAGATATGAAAAGTTTGTGGGTAGGTGGGGGTAAGGGGTGGAGAGATGGCTCAGAGGTTAAGATCACTGGCTGCACCTCCAAATGTCCTGAGTTCAATTCTTAACAACATGGTGACTCACAACCATCTATAAACGAGAACCAGTTCCCTCTTCTGGCATGAAGGCAGAACACTGTATACAGAATACATTCTTTTACAAGGTGTAAAAGGGAAACAATTTGGGGAAAGAGTAAGTGAAGGCAGCCTGGCTGGGTAAAGACGGGCAGATATGTGATGCCCATCCTCAGAAGAGGTCCAAATATCCCAATGAGGAAAAATGTTTGCAGTACCCTTACATCACATATTAGAAACTTTTCTTTATGGTCCAGCCACTCAATGGGTAATTCTGATAGCAACCTTGAGCAAAGAGATGTGCACCACCATGGTGCCGTCCTCAAGGTGGGGCGTGGATGATGATAGATATTTGGCTAAAGCAAAGGTCTGATAAGTACTAAGGGAGACTGGGGATACAAGGGACTTGCTGATCAAACACAGAGGTAGAATGAGGGAAGGATTTGGAGTGGGGAATAGAGGGGATGGATCAAAGGAGCAGAACCCTCTAGAAATACCATAGAGAAGCCTGTAGAATAACATCCTGGACTTTGTATTTCTCTCCCACCCAGCAGGCAGACTTACCTTCTACATAGAGCAGCTGATACTTGACGGAGATCTGTGATTTGCCCCCAGCTTCTGCTTTGCAGTAGACCACACCCTGGTGATCAGAATGAGGCTGAAGGTATACAAAGCCTCTCTTCATGTCATAAATTATATCTGTTCCATTGACAGGGATTTCTTTGGCAGGAAACTCTCTGTGGAGCGTGACTTTGGCTGATAGCACTGTTACTCGACAAGGGACCACAGCCTGTCTGTCCGGGTTCAGGTAGACAACATCAAAGTAACTGGGAGAAGGTACAAACAGCTCTCCTTTCTCTGCAGAGACACACAGGCTTAATGACTCAAAAGAAACACAGTGATGTTGCCTCAAAGATTCTTAACACACACACAGATGAGATGATTCTAACACTGCACACCACACACTGGGTCTCTAAGAGAAACTGGGTTGAAAAATGGGTAGGGAATTGCTTTGCATCCTGCTATAATTTAGATGTCGACTGTCCCCTAGAGGTCCTTGAGTTAAAGACTTGACTATTGGAAGTTCCGGGGGCAGAGGGACTTGGTAAAAGGGCTTTAGGTCAGTAGGGATGTACTCTTGAAAGTACTTATAAGGCATCAGCCTTTTCTCTCTGCCTGATGCCTGATGATGTCACCTGTCTCAACATAGAATGGAAGGCATGAGGTCAATTGATTATGGACATGGAATGTTCCAAAATGTTCTTATAATAAATTGACTTAATGATAAACGGGCTGAGAAAGAAATCAGAGAAACATCACCCTTCACAATAGCCACAAACAAAAATCTTGGGGTAACACTAACCAAACAAGTGAAAGACCTGATGACAAGAACTTTAAGACTTTGGAGAAATCTCCCATGCTCATGGATCTGTAGGATTAACAACATAGTAAAAATGGTAATCTTACAAAGGCAATCTACAGATTCAATGCATCAAAATCTGAACACAATTCTTTGAGGACCTCGAAAGAAAAATACTCAACTTCATAAGGAAAAACAAAAGACCCGGGATAGCTAAACCAATCCTGTACAATAAGTAAGCTCTGACTTCAAGCTGTACTATAGAGTTATAGTAACAAAAACAGCTTGGTGTTGGCATAAAAAAGACAAGTGAATCAGTGGAATTCAATCGAAGACCCTGACATAAATCCAATGGGGTAAAAAAAGTACCTTTAACAAATGGTTAACAGAATGTTGGCATGTAGAAGAATGCCATACCTATCCCATGTACAAAAGTCCAAGCGAATCAAAGACCTCAACATAAATCTAGTTACAATGAAACTGTAATAGTGAACATAGGAAGTAGCCTTGAATGCCTTGACACAGGAGACTACTTCCTGAATATTATACCAATAGCATAGCCCCTGGGATCGACAATAAATGGGACCTCCTGAAACTGGAAAGCTTCTGTAAGGCAAAGGGCACTCTCAATAAGACAAAATGGCAGCCTACAGACTGAGAAAAGATCACCAACCTCTCATCTGACAGAGGGCTGATCTCCAAACTGTATAAAGAACTCAAGAAACTAGATATCAGCAAGCCAAATAATCAATTTAAAAAAACGGGGTGAAGTATTTCCGATGCTGTGAGTTAATGCCCTTACAATCTGTAGGAATCATTTGGACTCTGGTAGTTTAGAAGCCTTGTTAAGGAGTTCTGTTTGAAGGGGCACATACCTACGCATCAACAGAAAATTTCATTGAATTGGAAGCTAAGAAGGATGACTGCTTACATAGGTGCTTCCTGCCAGTAATCTGGTAAGGAGCTCCCCTTATTGATTGGGGTAACTGACTTGATCAGAAGAAGTTGGGGAAGATTGGGACATGTGTTGAAGAGGATGTGGAGAAAGGAGAACACTCCTCCACAGCTGGTGGGAGTGCAAACTTGTACTGACATTTTGGAAATCAGTATGGAGGTTTCTAAGAAAAATTGAGAAATCAATCTACCTCAGTCTTGGGCATATACCCAATGGATATTTAATCACACCACAAGGACACTTGCTCAACTATGTTCATAGCAGCATTGTTTGTAATAGCCAGAACCTGGGAACAGCCGAGATGCCCCTCAACTGAAAATAGATAAGGAAAATGTGGTACATTTACACAATGGAGTACTCAGCAGTAAAAAACAATGACCTCATGAAATTTGCAGACAAATTTTTGGAACTAGAAAAAGCATTCTGAGTGAGGTAACCCAGAAAGATAATCATGGTATGTATTCACTCATAAGTGAATATTAGGAGTAAAGAATAGGATAACCAACCTACAATTCACATCCCCAAAGAGGCTAGATAACAAGGACTCAAAGAAGAATTCATGGATTTCCTTGGGAAGAGGGAAATAGAAGAGAGATCCTTGGTAAACGGAGGGTCGGGAAGATGGGAACTTGGGTGGGCTAGGTGTGGGAGGAGGGTTGGGGACAGAATGGAGGTGGAGAGTAAAGAAAGGGACATCTTGATAGGGGGGCGCCTTTTCAGGGTTAGGGAGAAACCTGGTGCCAGGGAACCCCCAGGAAACCACAAGGATGACCCCAGATAAGACTCCTAGCAATAGTAGAGAGGTGCCTGAACTGGCCATCTAGTATAATAAGATTGGTGATTATCCTAATTGTCACCAGAAAGCCTTTATCTAGTAAGTGATGGAAGCAGATGTAGAGATCCACAGCCAAGCTCCTGGAGTCCAGTCAAAGAGGGAAGAGGAGTTGTATGAGCAAGGAGGGTCAAGGTCATGATGGAGAACCCACAGAGACAGCTGACCTTAGCTCATGGACTCTGGACCAACCTAGACCTTGCTTGGTCCATTTGTTAGGGCCCCTGTCAGTGAGATTGGGACCTTTCACTGGAGTTTAGCTGACTTTTGGGTACCTGTTCCCCATGCTGGATTACCTTGCCCCAGGCTTGATACAGGGGGTGGAGCACCGTCCTGCCTCAACTTAGTGTGCCAAGCTTTTTTCAAGCCCCTTGAATGGAGGTGGTGGGAGGGAACAAAGGAAAATGTGGTTGGTAAAATGAATGAAAAAAATGTTAAATAAATTGTCTTTGGTATTTTAGAAGGGCAACTATCAACTTTCCCTATATCCTCAAAGGAAACAAGATTTTTTTTTTTTTCCAGCTCAAATCAAAATCATGGCTCACACTGATGAAGCAAGGAAGGAGTTTGATTTCATTAAATTAAAAATAGAAAATTGTAAGAATATTTTTACTTCTATCATTCCTGTAGTTGTGTGTGTATGCTTGTAGAGGCCAGAAGAGAATGTTAGTAGCAGTTATGAGCCCCCTCGTGTCGGTGCTTGGCTGGACACCCAGTGCTCTTCAGGACTGAGCCATCTTTCCAGCCCTGTGAGAAACATTACTAAGACCTTGAAACACTCTGCTTCTGTGTGGAAAACGAGCCTCATAGCCAAGGATTTCTGTTGAGGGGCATTCTTCTACAGTGGAGGTCCTCGGAAAGGCACAAATAACCATGTTACTGTGTCCTCAGGGTCCTCACACAAAATATAGAAGACAGATTGTATGCCAAGGCTAAGGGAGGGGTCTGGGATAGGAGCAGAGGGAAACCTGCTGGTCTCAGAGATGGCCCCTACTTGACTACCATGTAGCTGGGGACTTTCACCCGTATTTCTCTTTTTCCCCCCTCCCCTGCAATGCACCCTGTCAGATTCTTTAAACCCTAGGTGACTTTCCATCTCACAGGAAGCAACCAGGTGAGAATTAACCGGCTTACTCACAATGTCCCTAGGACAGCTAAAGGATTTGGGGTGGGGCTTCTTGGGCACACATGTATATTATTTGTTTGATTTGGCTTGACACATTAAATCCTTTGTTTTCTGGATTGTTCTGCAAAGGGATATTATAGTAATTACTGAGAGAACTCTCTGGGTAATCACATTACACTTTTTAAATTGTTTCCCCGTGTTTCCCTTGCAAGGTTCGGGAGCAAGCAATTCTTGGCTTTCTCTTTCCCCAGCCTTCTGTGTTACCATTGTATGATAATTTAGGTTGGGTGTAGGATTCCTGCCAACGTCTAGAGTCTTGCGGGGGAGGATCTCTTTGGTTACAAGGACCAAGTTTAGGAACATGGACGTGTTTCTATAGGAAAGACTGTCATTATAGGAAAGACTGTCATTGCTAGGCTCTATACTAACCAGACTGGGTGATTTTGTTGCTTTGTAAATTAACCCCTGTTTAGACACAGGAAAATCTACATAGCCTTGAGTGTGTTAATTCAGTTGTGCTTTAAAACCCCATTTGTAAAGAGTAGGTAACATTAAAGGCATCTTTTGAGCAGCTGAGGGAGTGCCTCAGTGATAGGGCATATGCCTGGGATCTTAGAAGGCCAACATTCAGTCCCTAATACTATGAGAAAATAAAGATTTTCTTAAACAGTTAGAATTTTATAATTGTAAGATGGTGGAGGCAATGTGTAAGATTTTGCTGAGTGAGTGATCTGCCCACTTAGCAAAGCCAGTAGAATCAGTGAAGAGCTGGAATTTCAGAATGCAAAAATAGTCTTATTTCTTGTTGTGAAGTATGCACTTTGGAATAAATGAATCTATCAGTTGCTTTAAAAATATTTGCAGAGTAGGACATGGCTCAATGGTAAAGAACTTGCCTAACATGTGAAAAGCCCTAGCTTCAATACACAATATTATATGTAAACACACACACACAGCAGTAGCTTCCATCTGTAAGAAGCAATGTGTTAAGGTTCCTTTAAAAAATTATAGGTTACATTCCCCTACAAATATGCTTGTATCTACCCATGTACCATATTGCTTTTAAAATGGAACACATGGGGTTTTATATTTTTAAAAGTCAAAGCTAATAGCCTGTAAACTAAAATACAAATTATGGCACACTCAATATCTAGTAAAGTACTTATTAATGTGGTCTCCCTACATATGAAAATCATTGCCCGAGTATTTCCTATCCCCCCGCCACTGGTAGAGCGTTCCCCTTGATCTGTCTGGGTGGCGGTTACACATGTCTGCTCCTTTGAGGACAGTTTATTGCATTGTCTACTTAGGTTCTGACATCTTTTCATTATGTATGTTATACTTCAGTGTTAAGAGTGGAGAGAGAGAGAACACGAACCTGCCTCCTGGATAAGAGAGAATAAATGTGGCAGTTACTCAAACTTTACACAGATTAACAACAGGCAGTGCCCCAAAAGAAATTTCACAGTGTTTGCCATCAAACTCTAGGAAACACACAAACATAACGAATGGCAGATGCTTCTCCATGTGGGTAGCTGAGAAGCATATGTTCCTAAGGAACCCTGTGCCAGCAATAGGAACCTTAGCTTCTGTGGCAGCCTTTCTTGGTTTTCCAAAGCCACCCACACTTCAAAAGACAAAATGCCAAACTCTGTACTGAAAATCTATCTGGAGTTTGGGTGGGTAAAAAAAAAAAAAAAAAAAAAAAAAAAAAAAAAAAAAAAAACCGCAACAAAATGTTACCATCTCCCTCCTCCTCATCCATCCTTCCTTTTCTTTTCCCTCTCCCCAACTCCCCTACAATTTTTGACAGGTTCCTCTGTAAGCCCAGACTGGTCCTTGAACTAAGTAGCTAAAGATGATGCTGAACTTCTGATCCTCCCACATTATCCTCCTGAGGGTTGGGATAAAAGGCATGCACCACCATACAAAGTTATATATTATGCTGGGCTAGACTCCAGGCCTCCATGTATGCTAGGCAAACACTCAATCCACTGAGCTATATCCCCCAGTCCTGACTTAAGTTTGCCCAAAGTTGAAGATGACATGTCTTTGCTTTCTTTTGGTTCACAAGAGAACTTTAGGAACTAAAGAGGATCTACCTACAAAGCTCAAAAGAGCACGTGTAAGCCCTATCAACCCAGAACAGCTCCAGTGAAGTCTTCAGCACCTGGTATTGTGGGAAGACATGGTAGTGCTACTCTTGGCAAAGAATGTTCATCTGCATTTTCAATAAGAAATCCATCCTTACATAGAATAACAAGCTCATATCCATCTTAATTGTTTACCCTTTCACACTTTGCCACATGGCATAACACAAAGACCACACAGATATGAAAAGTTTACAGAACATGAACACCCATTGGAAATTCTCAGACAGTCTTAACACTGCTAGCTAGTGTCACTATCAATCAAGCTACTATTTTGTCCTAGAAAGGGCTCAAGGCATGATAACAGTGGATTGTGGGTCAGAAAAATAAGTTTGACAACTTAATATGCTACCACAAGTCCCTGAACACTGGAAGGGTCATCTTGCCCTTTTAAATCTTGGCATCCATATTGTTTCTTTTTGTTTTTTTTTGTTTGTTTGTTTTTTTGAGACAGGGTTTCTCTGTGGCTTTTAGAGGCTGTCCTGGAACTAGCTCTTGTAGACCAGGCTGGTCTCGAACTCACAGAGATCTACCTGCCTCTACTTCCCGAGTGCTGGGACTAAAGGCGTGTGCCACCAACTCCCGGCTCTCATATTGTTTTTAAAACAAACATAATAAAATAGCTTCAATTCCTTTCCTCGGGTAAAATACATGAGCAGTTGCTAATGAATTGATTAATGGCCAGGATATAAGATCACTGGCTTATAGCCATATTTCAGTACAGACCTGCAAGGCAGATTGACTTGGGACTTAGAGAAATCTCATGAGAGCCTCCTACCAAGATACTTACAAAGGGCTGTCTCTCCCGAGACACATTGTACAATAATAGCACCAGTAAAGAGAGTTTGAAGTTTTCTAAAAGTTGTCCCTGACATTTAAAATCTTGCTGAAGAACCTCATCCCCCAATGATGGAGCTCCCTGAGGTCGTAGATAGGAGGAGGCTGGGAGCCAGTATGCAACAAAGTCACAGGGTTTGTCTTGACAGTGTATTCCTGGCACCTCATGGGAGGAAGGGCTCTCCAATGTGACCCACAGGTGTCCTGGTTCCCCTCTTAGTCTCAGATGAGACAGAAACTACAGGAATCCTGCTCTGAAGTCTCAGCTCCTGGAACTCCTAAGAATAAATATGAGGAGGTCTTTAGCAACCTCACCTTGTTGCTATAGAGATTCCAGATGGAGCTGATCACAGGTCTCAGTACAATGATGAGCAGCCAAACAGTGGCACCATGCAATGGGACTCTGTGACTGTGTAAGCATCCTTTGCAGCCCCCTATAAGAACATTTCAATTACACATGTCACAACTGAGCACTCCAACTGAGGCAAGTGTGACCAAACAAATGAGTTTTCAATTGTATTTCATTTTAATATGAGGTGACATTTAAGTTGCTGCATGTATTAAGTGACTGCCCTTCTGAGCAGTGGAGGCATAGACCCTGAATCAGACAGTTCTTTTGTGTTCAACTCCTTGTGCCACCTACCCGTTATGGGACTTTAAGAATTTTCTTCATCTCTCTAATCCCCATTTCTCTGGAAATGATATATGTATTTGCCCTCAAAGACTGTCATGATATATGCTCTTCGCCCTGTGCCTGAATAATGAAGTTTGGAGGCAACATCAGCAGCTCAAGAAGCCCTGTCATGTACCACACTTGTACCTGTGAAGAAGATGTAGGTGGAGCCCGTTCTGGACTCGTCTCGTCTACAGATGTAGCCATTGCACAGTTGCCCCCAGCAGCTGAATTCACCCGTGTCGGCTGAGGAGGAGTTGACTAGCGTCAGTTGCCCGTAGCGTTCGTTCTGCTTCACACTGTAATTTCAAGAGAGGTAGGGCGTCAGGACAGGTCAGAGCCCAGCCTGGGGCCTTCCAGACATGGGTTTCTGCTTTGTTGCTTCCAGATGTAAATACCCCAGTAACCTGATGTGGCCTTTCAGATGGCAAAAATAATCAGAATGTGTCTGGTGGGTGGAGGGAATAGAGTGTGTGTGTGTGTATGGGGGGGCAAAAAGAAAAGCTTTATCCTAAAAGAAAATAATAAACGCTTGTTGGAAGCCATACAGCTTGGCATGAACCTTTAGGCCAAACTTGGCAAGCCACATGGTTATAGAACTGTCTTTTGATTTTTAAATGGCTTCTAGAAGCCTGAGCACCCAGAAGGAACATGACCCAGACGTCAATCCTTTCTTCCGACCACAGGACCACTTACCTAAGCAACCCTCCTGAGTCCCACCACTTTACCTCTGTAACCCCCCTCTCCCCACCACCCATGAACTTTTTACCCTGCCAACATCCTCCTCCTATAGTTTTCTAACATCCTGCTTGAACTAACACCTGGCTGTTGGCTTCTTCTCCCCCTCCCCTTTACCCCATACTACTGACTATATATAAGCTAGCCTGGAAAAAATAAAATTTGCCACTTGATCAGAATCCTGTCTTGTGGTCATTCTCTTGCGTCTCTCATCTCCATTCACCTCCCTGGACTTCTTGCTCTAGGTTGCTGTCCTGCGGGTTGGGACAACTACAAATGATAATTATGATTTTTCAAACTTAGGAATGATTTTTTCATCAGAGGAAATTCTCTTTGGCCTCAGAGCTGGGGTTTCCAGAAATAAGATCATTGTGGGGGAGGGCTTAGCAATTCATCCAAAAAAGCCTGGGACTGGTGCTTGCTTTTAATAAGAAATGGGCTGAAAATAAAACGTCGATGAGAGCACATAGCATTAGCTAATATTAACCCTAAATCTCTTCTAACAATAAGTTCCAAGTATAAGTGTAGAATCTTAAGTATATTGTACAATTGTATGAAAAGTAAACCCTGTTTTCTGTGCTATGATGTGAGCTCCAGGTGAGGAACACACCTCTGAAGAATTGCTCAGGGTCCTTGGGCTTTCTGGCTTTTACTCTGGCCTTACCCTACTATTTCAATTTTTATTTTTCTCTTGTGCTGTTATCTACATGACTGGTATTCAGAAGTTCTGAAAATCCCTGATTTCTTCCTGAAATAGATATATTATTAATTATAACTAAAAAAGTGACATCAGCCAATTTTCCTGATAACTATATTGTGACACAATTCTAGAAGCATCGGTCTTTATAACGGATGTTCCCCTGTGGCTTAAGAGTCTCAGCCTGTGATGCCAAAATAAATGGTTTTAATCCAAGCACTCATCTCAGATATCCAAATGCTTCACTCCTCTGGGATCCACATAGCTTTCGGATGGAGTGGAGAGCCTCCTGTTTTATCTCGCCACAATATCAGCAGGAGCACAACTTTAAATTTAGCACATACAAGAAGTCTGGGTGTTGGGTCCTGAACACAGCCCTGCTCTAGCTCCCTTCTGGATGGCTTATTGTCCCCACCAGGCCTGGCCAGAGGGGGTGCACTCCTCCCACTCCATCGCCTCTCTCCTTTAAACTGGACGGAAATCTCTCCTCCCTCAGGAAGCTTCTAATTACAACAGACTCTCAGGAATCTCCCCCACTTTCTCCTAATGAAGTGGTTGCCCCCCTTGTTTTCCTGTCCCTCTGATACCCCTGGCTTCCTGTTATTATACTGGATGGTGACAAGGAAAGGGACAGTGCCATATTTGTTTCATATTCTCTAAGAGAGAGAAAACAAATCTGTGCACAGTACACAGTGTGGATTCCCGAAACACAATTGAAACTGAAGTGACATACAACATTGCAATAGAAAGAGCTGAAATAAGCATCTGGCTCCCTATTTTGCAGAGAGTTTAGATGTGGAATGGCCACAGAGTCCCATGTATTATAGGTTTAGCCCCCAGCTCATGAGATTTATAGGGAATGACGGAACCCCTAATCATCAAGGTCTAATGGAGCTTTCCTTTTTGGTCACTGGTGGTGCCCGAGGAGAGGTGAGACTTTTGCCCCTTTCTTCTGTCATTCTTATGGCTTCCTAGACATGGGGAAAATGGCTTTGCCCCATTGTGTACTGCCACCATGATGCATCGCTATGTGTGCTGTGATGTGCCACCGTGAGGCCAAAGTGATGGGACCAAACAGTCAATGAGCTCAAAGTTAAAAAAAGGGAGCCAAAATCATCATCCTTGCTTTTTAGTATTGTCACAGTAACGAACAATAGCAGGTTAGAACACAGAGACTCGGAAAAATGACATCCCCAAGACACACAGCTGGGGACCAGCTAAACAAGTCACCATAAGTTACTTGTGTACTTAGCATGTAGTAATTAGATAATAAACTTTGAATAAAGCATTTCACAAAATGCACCCTGCTCAGTGTATCATTCCAATTATTTCTAATTACACATAATTGTAGGTTCAGACTAGCTATTGTGAATACTGCTACAGCAACAACGAACAATACACACCCAGCACTGGATAGTGTTAGCACAGCAAATAAAAACCAGTGGGCTTTAGGAGGTTGCATTGCAATTCAAGAATTAGGACTAACAACCATGAAAAGACTCAGGAATGACTAGCCAGGTTCTTACAATAAAAATGAGAATCTCAGAGGTTGGGTTGAAGAGGTGGAAGGCAGCTTTGAAGAGGGGGTAAGACAAGCTGGGCTGGTATAGGTGCAGAAGGAGGGGTAGTAGGGGCCTGAGGGACAGCAGGCAAAAGGTGCTTGCTCGGGGAACAGCAAGCCTCACCAGGATTGCTGGGGACTTACTCTGCCACATTCACAGCCGTGACCCTCATGTGCAGTGGGTGGAGAGAATGCAACAGTTTCTTGGAGGTTTCATCCATGGTTTGCAGAGTGAGACAGAAGCGGGGAGTGGGGAGTCACAGACGCATGGTTGAGAGCTGTAACGTAGTACGTGGTCAGTTACTAAACCAGTGGAAAGCAATCTCTGGGGAAGGGAAAGTGATGGAACCACCATCGTTAGGGCAGGAGCAGACAGGACCGGGAGTGGGAAGAGTAGAAGGAAAAGTGAGCATCTAAAACATTTCAGCTCTTACTACAATGAAGAAGTGTCTAGGCATGGGCATGGCAGGATATGGAGATCTGGGAGAGGGGCGGGGATTTGCAACTGACTGGAGAAGAGCAAGACTGGCAGAATGAGATGCATCGGGAATGGCCTCACAACCTGGAATCTCTGTTAGAGAGGACTGAAAATTTGAATTTGTGATTGAAATCATTAGAAAGATACCTTGTGGTTATCTCTGGCCTTCCACACACATACCACCTAGGCGCGTGCACGAGCACACACACACACACACACACACACACACACACACACACACACACAGGCAAAGCACTTGTACACATGAAACAAACAAAACAAGGATTAATTTCAGAGGATAAAAAAAATGGCAAAGAGAAAATAAACCCAAGTCTCCTCAGGAGACCCAGGACAGGAGACATTTGGATATGTGAGCTTTGCAGAGCTCAGAACCAGTTAAAATGCCAATCATGTTCTTTGGGCCCAGCCTGTTTGCAAGGTAGTGGCAGAAAGGGAGCTAAGCAGGCACAAAAACCTAACACTGGAAGGTAACCCGGCTGCCACCGTGATCGGTGTGCTGTATCTTTAGCAGACTGGGGGTGGAAGGAAGGAAATGCCCCGGGAAACATTTCTGCATATTTCCACCCCCTCTTCTATGCAAACCTCATAAAACAGGAAACAAATTATTTCAAAGGATTACAGTTCAAATCCCTGGATCTAAAATGTCCATTTCTACTAGGTGTCTTACACAGTCCAAGCATCAGGCTGCCCAGAGAGCTAGGGTACAGCCAAATCTGCTGGCTACTGAGCATGTGTCATGAGATGAGGAAAAGCACAACTGAGCCCTGTAGAACACCGAGTGGAGATGCTTCAGCCAAAGGCCCTTCCTTCTCTCTTGTAACCATTCAACAACTGCAGTGGAGTGCGAAGAAGTGATGGGTGGGAGGTGGGAGTTAAAAACAATTGTCACAACAAAGGTACCATCAAATGCTGGAACAAGAGCATCCCAATGAAGTCGCCTGGAACAGCTCTGAGCATCCTAACACATCAGCGTATTTCAGGTCCTTTTCTTCCAAACTGACACTTCCAACCTTCTGATCTAAAGAGCATGGAAAAGGCCAGGCTTCAAGGAGCACTAGTTCAACATTTAAAACTTTCATTCAGAGAGAGAGAGAGAGAGAGAGAGAGAGAGAGAGAGAGAGAGAGTCTGTTCCTCTTAGTGGAGGTCTGAAGCATCCTAAGTTTGGTCCAACTTACTCTCTTTTACAGTGCTCCAAGTCATGGATATGGGCACAAAGAAAGGAGCTGGCACCTTCCAAAGATAGGGACTGTGGTGCCACTCATGTGAGGCAGTAACCAGATAACAATGGCAAGTCCTGTCCACCAGACTCTACAAGTCACAAGACAACAAGTAAGCTGTGGTTTATAAGACAGTTATTCAGTAGTTCAATAAGTACTTAGGACTGTAAACTAAACTGGAGACCCTAGAGTGCAGATGAAGGTTGCCAGAGATTCTAGAGAATGCCTCCACTCAACTTCTGTACAGGGAGCAAGTACCAAGGGAGTTTACAGGAGGGTAGCCAGAAAAGCCTTCAAGACTTCAGGGTCATAGGAGCTTAGAAGGATGCTAACCAGTCCAAGCAGGGACCAGGAGCCAGGCATTCACAGGAAGGTGATGTCCTGAGAGGAGAAAAAAGGGCAGATGAGTGCCCAGCAGAAAGTATGACTGGGACACTGGTGGCCACTTTGTGACAGAGGCCACATCCCAGGAAACCATCATGAGCCATGGAGCCACAATGATCAGATTCAGATTCCGGCCCCATAGTGACCTTAGGACTTCCGAGCTAAATTTCCCCTTCCACACGGTGCCCACACCCACCCCCTG